ACGCGGGGCTCAGGCTGGGGAGAGCCGTCGGCCTCTTCCTCCCGGCCGGGTTAAGCGGAGAGCGGCGCCGGCACTCGGAAGCGGCGCTGCCGCGCGAGCATTTCCATCCCGCCGCGGGAAAGTCCGTGCCCTGTCGCGTCGGCCGCAAGCTAGTGCGCAGGCGCAGAAGCGCTCGCCTTTCTAGCTCTCGTCTCCCTGCCCCCCCAATAGCGTAAGGATGAAGCCTACAGCTGAAGGGAAGAAGCCCTTCCCCTCACTACGCAAGAGCGGAAGTCGCTTTCGAAAAGAAGGCGGGCCTAAGCCTAGAAACAATAATGACTAACAACTAAGGCAACCAGTAAGCTTCAGACTTGGCCGGCCAGTCAGAGCGTTCGCAGGGCGCCTGCGCTCCTGAACGGAGGGAGGGAGGGCGGAGGACAGGAGAGGGGAACTGCGCATGCTCAGAAGGGGCCCTGCCATAATCCCTCTTGGAAGAAATCTGAATTTCTCCTTAAACAAAGGAGATTTTCTTCCCAGTTCTCAGATTTCATCAATTTCCACTCCAGGAGGCAATGTGTCAACAGCAGGATAGGCATCGTGGTGCCCATATATTGGCGGGGGGGTTGACTACAGCTCCCATCATCCGCAGCCCACTGCTGGGGTGAGATGGGAGTTGTAGTACACAGGATCTTAAAGTTGCCACGTTTGAAAAACACTGCTGCAAAGGGAAAACCTGAGCCTTCAAAGCCCAGAGGTTCCATTTATTTCGCTTCTGGTTAATGAAGCCTTGGAGGGATTCTGCCAGGAAATTAAGCCCTTTCCCTCTGTGGCTGGAAAGCATCGGGCCTGTTTTGAAATCAATACCCCGGAGCAAAAATATCTTGCTGTCATACCCGGCGGAATGGTAATCCCAGCGTAAGGGGAAGGCCCTGGCCGGGGGGGCTGTTAAATCGCCAGCCAAGGAGCTGTCAGGTGGAATCGCCGGAGGTGCAAGTTTAGATTCGTCAATAATCTTTTCGCTCTGTGTACTTTATTACGCGCCGCCTAGTTAGAGAGATCTTCGCACTGCCAGAACAGAAGTTTTGAACGTGGTGCCACGATTTTGGCCCAGAGATTGTTTCGCGCCTAATGCCCTGGATCCCAGCTGAGTTAGCATTATTTCCAGATTTAAGATCTTAAACTGAATGTGTCAGTTGCGTATTTTAAAAAAAACTAAGCGGCACGAAAATCTTGGAGGTTAGCAAATCGGAACGGTAGCAAAAGGTTAGGATAAGAAAAGCAGTTTAGATCATTCATTAGCCACGGGGACTTAGAAGGCATCTAATGCTGTGATGATAAGGCAGTAGCATACCTGGGCTCTGTTGGGCAACACAAGCTGGAGATACCCGCTCAGTCCAGATGGTTATTTTTACTTGTGTAAAATCCTAAATCCACTCATTTAGGATTGGGCCACTGAATTCAATGGAACCTCTGAGAAAACAGCTGGTGGTTTAAATTGCATTGAAACCAGCAGCGTTCCGGCCACAGCCTGTTTACTGAAAGTTCAATAGAGTTAAACGCAATATAATTTCAAATTAGCGTGCATATGATGGCAGCTAACGATTGCAATGGTTGGGGATACATGTTGCTTTATACCAGTGTTTCTCAACCTCAGCGACTTCAAAATGTGTGGACTTCAACTCCCAGAATTCTGCAGTCAGCATGCTGGCTAGGGAATTCTGGGAGTTGAAGTCCATGGATCTTAGAGTTGCTGAGGTTGAGAAACACTGCTTTATACTACAGTTGGGGGGGGGGTAGGTTTAGCATATTGTGTAATCCAGCCACCATGACACGTAAACAATGGTTAATGAAGTGTGTTGAACCAATTGTGTCTTGGTCAACAAAGCATAATATAGCAAATAATGGGTAGTGGGGGATGTGAACCAAATCTGTAGGGAAATGTGCTGTCTCCAAAAAATAGCTGTTTGCACTGGCCCCAGGTCAGAAATTGCACCGTGGGGAGCCCAGTAAAATCTAGAATTTCTCTCCTTTCCCATGCGTATTCCAGCATCAGTAGAAGCAACCCGGCAGTTGGTTCCTCATTTAAGTGGGTATTTTTCCCACAGCACACCCACAGGAACGATGCTGCAACCAAGGTCCTGGGGAATGTAATATTCCCAGACCCCCAATTCATTTGAATGATGGTGCAAATTGCTGGCAAGAGAGGGGTGCCTCTAATGAGATTCTTTAAAAGAGTAGAGTAGCTAAACGAAAAGGCTGCAGGCAGAGAGTTCTCCAACTCACAGTATGTTCCAAGCTGAAAGAGAACCCCCAAACGATTGCGCGATGCCAAGTGACCAACACTGATGATAGCCCTAAACCCAACTCTCTGATGCAGACAGTCTTACAACTGGACATGGGTTGAATGTCATAAAACTAGAAATGGATGGCTTTGGACTCTGTTGAGTGCAATGAGCCACTCATAACTGCCTAATACCTTTAGTTCTATGGAATACGTTACCATTTTCTGTATTGAAAGCAAGCTTTATTCGTGCTTAATAATTTAAATTTCACAACAAGGTTGCAGTACAGGAGAGCAAATCTGCTTAGATGATAAATGCAAAGCTGTCACCTTATTAGGCGTAAGGACATTACATTAAAAGAGAAAAAAAAGTTGGTTAGGGGTACAGGAGGAGCAACAAATAAAGCTGAGAAGCGGAAGAGGGGAAGAGATGCACTGCAGGAGAAAAAACCTAACTGCTCTGGACACCTTTTCCTGATGGAAAAGGCTTCAGATTAAGCACCCAGCATTTCCAGTTAGATCTAAGGAACAGTCCAGTCTGAAAAACTAGAGGATCAGTTCTGATCAGTGGACAACAATAAGCCAGATACAACCAAAGGCAGCTTCCTATGGTCTACTTTGACAATTTAGGACTCTGTTTTTATGCATTTTTATTTGATGGATGGGTTGCCAAACCAAGACAACTGGGAGGCCATCAAATTGTGGAAGGTTGTACAGGAACATCAAGTGCTTGATATTCACCTTCATTTTTATCTCAGTGTTGCAAAACCCCTTCACATTTCATAATTAATGTTTGGGGTGACCCATCCTGCTGTTTATACGAGTTTGAACTATATGAATGCCAAAAGTTACTCCACTCCAGTTGTGTGTGAAGGAAACCCATTTGGGTTCTTATTAAAACAAATCACAAATACGAGGAAACACTCAAAGTGGCTACAACTTTTTTTTTAAAAAATCAGGTTTTTAAAATGCTGGCCTGTAAATGCTGCCGTGTGAACGAAGTTGATTGTATACAACAAGGACGGAAAGGTATAGCTGTAATTAAAGCCTGTAACTTAAATATTAGCAACAAATTCTGACTTTGGATTAACTTGTCACATCATGTACAGAGCCAGCCAGGAACCACAAAAGAAGTGGTATACAGAATTGCAAGTAAATGTAATATGTTGAGCGTAAAGACCTGTTTTTAGGGAGATGAACGCAGAAACATAATCTGAACAGCAGTGTATCGTTGAAAATGACATCAGGTAGAGTCATATACCTAGAGCAGTGTTTCCCAACCTTGGAAACTTTAAGATGTGCGGACTTCAGCTCCCAGCATT